TGCATTCCATGCCCTTTTGAAGAAGAAGCCAGGACAATAGTTTGAGGATAGTATTGTTTTTGTTTTCCCTGACGCAATTATCGGCCTCCAGCAAAGTGCATAAAGAGTCTAGCTGGCAGGAAGCCAGAAAGTGAACATGATAGATAGTCAATTGCCAAGGCACCCAAATGATCATCTTTCGAGGGGGTGTTCTCCCCTTTGCAGCGCAAATCGATGACATCTTCTCAAGCCCGCGGCAAAGGCATTCAGCGACCATGGAGGCATCAGCACTTTGCCGGACATCTAAACAAAAAAGGCACAGGCAAACTTGATGCAACCACACACCCTGCACTTTTGTGCGGACACGTTCGTGCTTCGCGAGCGTCTTTGTAATGATGCCGTGCCTTGCTCTTGGCAGGGACCATTTAGATTGGTCCATTCCATCCTGCAGCATTGGACCCTACTTCAAGAATTGAGGGGATGTCTAACCTCCACATTGACGATTCATATTACGCTTTGCCAAGGAGCAATGTTGATGAAAAGGGTTGCGCTGTCGTCCATCAAAGGATTTGAATCCTGATGTCAAACAAAAGTCGGGCATGACTGACATTCAAATTTTACATGAGGCGCAGGCGCCTGGCCTGAAAATGAGATTCGAGCTGCCGATCTTGCGCTACTGCCTGCATATGGGCCTGGTACTGCCTGGATATTTCGTACTTGTCGAGGGGATCCTTTGCTGCGCCGCTAGTAGCTGACACTGGGAGTTTGCCCAGCATGAGAAACACATCGTAGCAGGACAAGATTCTGTGGCATCTTCAAATGAGTCTTTAAATGCCGTGCAGTCATCGCACGCTGGGAAATTGGTTGGTTGGCTGAAGCGCAGCAGGTTTTGCCACTTGGTTTTGTATCTTCTGGCAAAATGAACGAACCTCGCAAAGTCAGAAATCAGTCTAATTTTGGTGTATCATCTCAACATCATTGTTTGCAAAGGAACGACACCTGCCCCGGGTACTCGGAGAAGAGCATTCTCAGGTTGCCAGGAGGCATGTAGCGTGTTGGTAAACGCCGACAATCAACGCCAAAATTGGTATCCACAACCCTCAGTATCTTCAAACCACAAACCATTGATGCTCAGTTGGCTTCAACCCCGAACTCCAAGCTGGGTTCAAGCCTAGGAGCTGGGTCCATACTTCCTTGCTGCCCGTAGTATGCATCTTTAAATCAATGTCATCCTCAATTCGCTCGTGCTCAATGAGGTCCTCCTGGTCCACCTCTTCTGCCATGTCTGTGTCGCCTGCCACACGCAATCAATCTTTGTTGCTCAGGTTTGTGACCAGGAGTTCAAAGCTGCATAGAACTGATTACTTCCGAGTCACTCACGTCATCATCATGTCTTGATGTCCCAAATGTAACTGTCATCTCAGCAGGGCCCTTGCCCTTACTCGCGTTTCCTGATGAACGAAGGCGTGCAGCTCGTTGGAACCTCAAAGTGGACACGTACAGGCAGGAAACCATGCTACATGACCCCGAAAGAAACTCTGTCAAGAAGCTTCGTCGGGAGCATCCCTGCTTGTTGGATGTACACACGAAGGAAGAACTTGTCAATGGCCATGTACTTCAAAGGATGCCGTTTCTTATCCTCAGGAAATTCACCCAGTATTCTCTCTGAAATTTGAACCAAACAAGTTTCACCCCCATAGCAGCCATATCGGCGATCCACCATGCCAGAACCAGCAGTCTTGAACCGATCCGAACGGATGCCCATCAAACAGCCAATGCACTTCACCGACATGATAATGCCAAGGATGCTCCATGATCGATTTGGCGCTGTGTTGGTGCTTACAATGTTGAAGATCTTAGTGCCAAACGTGTTGGGTGACATCTATACGACAACCTGAGACTCTGAAACTTTGGTTGCCAAACAGTTTAACTAAGACCATCACATAGGAGTCTTGTGCAGCTTTTTCCATGGACCAGAAAGATCTGAGAAACTGATGGAGTTCGTTATCTTTTGCCCTCATCTTTTTGAAACAGTCTTCACGATGGCAGCGACAAACATTTCTTGCATAGAGCTCGGTGACTCTGTCCAGTGACTGTCCATTGTCGCTGTGCCTATGGAAAAAGGGCGCTTGGGACGGTTGAGGAGGGGGCCATAGGATTTTCTAGACATCCCACACGGAAACAACACCCAATAGTAAGAAATACTACACAAAATGACATGATTAAATACATCGAGGCACGATCCTCGTTCCACTGGATTTGCATAGAACTTTCTCTTCGAACTATTGTAAAAGGGCCTCTTCTCAGGAGCTGGGCACTACTTTCTTGTAGCCACCCAAAGGCTTGGTTCGCCCCTGGAATTCAATCAAATTGTTAAGATTGAAGTCCACAATTGGTGGCCTAGCAGGTCCAGGATGTTCTCCAGACTTGGGCTCCTTTAAAGATGCAAGAAAGGATCTCAGCCGATTATGTCCTTGATCAGGATCCGCGGCTTCTGCTGCACCAGATGCAGAGCTGGGGCCACCATTGGACTCATCTCTTACAGATCGTAAGAACCCCGCCGACTGGCCATTTTGAACCATGACCAGCTGCAAAATAGACAACTGTTTGTCAGACCCCATCTTACTGGCTGGCTAGCCTCAATTAAAACGAAATACCCCCCAAGTAAAACGAAAGTTACTTAAGTGTGTTTGCATGGCGCCGTGCCACTGGGGAGCGCGAAACTTTCTGTTGTAAACGCGGCGTGTCGCTGGTGAGCGGGATGATTGGCGGTATCGTGTGATAGGATTGCTTCTAGTGTGTGGGCAGACTGTGTTGCGAATTACGTCCGTGATGTCGCAGTGCCATGCGGATTTACGCGGCCTTGGTGGAAAGTGCGTTTGCGCGGCGTCGTGCCAATGGGGAGCGCGAAACACGCTGGTGTAAACGCGGCGCGTCGTTGGTGAGCGGGATGACCGGCGGTATCGCCTGATATGATTGCTTCTAGTGTGTGGGCAGAGCGTGTGGCGAAATTACGTCCGTGATGTCGCAGCGCCATGCGGATTTACGCGGCCTTGGTGGAAAGTGCGTTTGCGTGGCGCCGTGCCACTGGGGAGCGCGAAACACGCTGGTGTAAACGCAGCGTGTCGCTGGTGAGCGGGATGATTAAGGCGGTATCGGACGATAGGATTGCTTCCAGTGTGTGGGCGGACCGTGCGGCGAAATTACGTCCGTGATGTCGCAGCGTCATGCGGATTTGCGCGGCCTTGGTGGGAAGTGCGTTTGCGCGGCGCCGTGCCACTGGAGAGCGCGAAACATGCTGGCGTAAACGCGGCGCGTCGCTGGTGAGCGGGATGATTGGCGGTATCGTGTGATAGGGTTG